AACTAGGTCTCTCTGTCGACGGTAAGGCCGTGAACGGGTCTGTTCAATAACCCAATTCTCAGTGTGAAGAATTGTTGGGCAGGGATATGGTTGAAGGTGGTGGTGCGAGAGGTCAGGGAATACTACTCACTGAGCTTAAAAGTCATTATACAAGTTTGGAATTAAACAAAAATTCCTCCGATCAAGACAGGGTAGTAAAAGCCAGAACGTATCTTATGATACTATTTGGTACCTTTTTATTTCCCGAAAGTACAGGAAATAGTGTAAATTTTATATATTTACATTTACTTAGAGATTTTGAAAAAACAAGAAAGTATAGTTGGGGTTCTGCAGTTTTAGTCCACCTATACAGTTCCTTGTGCAAAAATGTAGTCAAGGAAAAATGCACATTTTATGGGTGTGTTGGCTCCTAAATTCGACACCTTTGTTTTGATTGATGGCAGCCATTAAAAGCTGAAAGATGCTTTCGACTGGCTAAGCCTGTCGAAGTGCCCGTCGAAAGATGGCAAAATACTTAGAAGATTTCTTCCAAGGAAGAAGGCTGATTGCCTTCGACAGCGAAGGAGTTTTCGTCGAAGACGTCTCTTGACGAACGTGTTCGATGGTCCAGAGTGGAGCAGTTTGAAATTCAAAGCTTTGGAGGGAAAACGGTTTCCAGCAGTTACTACGTGCAAACGTGCAAGGATCTGGAGCGTCGAGCATGGAGAACGTGACAAGTGGCTTGATCTCGAAGCAGTGTAACTGCCCGACGGTTATTTGGAATGTTTTTGTATAAATAGGAGTAGATGTGTAGTTTCTCGGGTGTGTTCACAATAGATACATAGTCACTCATTTAGATTCAAGTACCCAGTGTGAGCGAACGAATTGTTGAGAAATGTATGTGTGAAACACCAATTTAATCAATTCAAGTCATTTACTTTTCCAGTATTTTACATGCTTTTCCCCTTTAAGATTCCTGTCGAACCTTTACATTCAAGCCTTGTTTATTTTACCAAGCCTTTCCTTTATGCAATTTACCTTAAACAATTTACTTAAAGCCTTATCCACATTAATTAAACTTCAAAATCAACCTATGTCCATAGGATCAATCTGATCGATCCTGCGAGTAACCAAATAAGTAACCATTTGGAGGATCAGCGGTTGTTTACCAAATCCCTAGGTAAACAGGGTGTGCTCTTTTACTACAAGCCTGGGGTTGGTGGAGGATGAATTCCTTAAACCCCGCCAACAACAACACTTTCGTTTTCCCGTATGCAACAAAGTAAGTCATCAAGTTATATCATTTATTAATATTCATCTCTTCGCCAAATATATGCTAAAAATAAAATGTTTTTCATTTCCTTTAGGTATTGCGTGAGGGGTATGGATTACGGCAAGAATCCAAGATTCAATGTCGCACTATATCGCAATTTGTTGGATCACTTAGGCCCGGATGATGTACGTCGTACCTTTAAACTTTTCTTCATTTAAATTATTTATATATTACGTTTTCGTTAACCTAATTTAAATTTTTTCGCAGTTCGTCTGGAGGCCATATTTGGGTTTGGGCCATGAACCAAACCCCGAGGATGCAGCAATTTGGACCGTGAAGACTGCAATCATTCGGTTCAACATTGTGGAGATGCACCACAGCGACCGTGTGAAGATGCAGTTCAGAATACATCAAGAGATACCAAGTGATCCAACTTGTTTGTCCCCATGGCATCTCAAAAGGGTCGACGCCCAGTGGGATCTTACCAACTGGAAAGACTTTGCTCCGGAATAGTGTAAGATGTGGCAGAGGCGTCACCGATATGTCTTGCAATTCCCGGTTTTCCTTAATCATGGTAATATGCGACACGCGGATCAATATTTATCTTGGTACAAGTCGGTTAGTAACCTTGAAATGCGCGTGTCTCATCCAAAGTACTTGGTTGACCCACGCATACAATGGGCCCAACCCTCGTTTCCCCAACAACAAACCCAAAACACATCAACCTCCCACCAACCCCCCAAAAGAAACAGAACCACAAACACCCAACCACAGTCCCCACCACAACACAATTACACTCAAATATCCCACAACCAACCACAATCACCACCTCAGTACCAATACCCACATATGCCTCACACCCAACCACAATACCAATCACAATACCAACACACCCGCATACCCCACACACAATTTCAGTCTTCTGTATATCCCAATATGAGCCCCTCAACATCCAGCCTTAGCCCTGATCTGGGAATGTCGGAAGATTACGAACAAACCGACTCAGTCTACCATCAACCACAGTATCACCAAACCACCCAACATCCTCAATACCAAACACCCCAAGATCCATTTCCTTTCTACCCACCGTACTCAGGCGATCAATGCTACAGACCCACCATGGAACCCCACCCACCGCCAACACGACCAAACTTTGAGGGTATGGGTAACCGACTGTACCAAAGCGGATCTTCTAGATATGGAGATCTGACTGATTTTATGGATCCATAACGCATTGACTTCGCTGGGCCATCGACCCTGCCACAGCAGGAAACGCGACGACACCCAACACGGGAAAGGCGAGGACGGGGATGCGGAACCGGGGGTCATTACCGGATTCCGGAGGATCACTGATTTATCTGTTTTTTTTTTTTGTTTTTTTATCTGTTTTTTAATGTAATACATTTGGATGTAAATTTTTTTTTTAATAAAAAGTCTATTTTGTTGATCCTGTATCCAATACGCAATGCACCGCACCGAAAAAAAAGAAGCAAATTTTGTCCTAGAATTGCACTTAGGCGTCATCTCACTTGGCTTAGGGCATGCCCTAAGCACATAGGCGCCAAGTGAGATGGCGCCTCCCCTTAAATAATGGGTATAGGCGCCAAGTGAGATGGCTCCTCCTTTGAGGAGTCATCTGAAACATGGTTATTTGCGAAAAAATTTCCGAAACGCAGTTATTTGCGATTTTTTTTTTTAATACTTGGTTATTCAAAAAAAAAATTCGTAACCAAAATAAAAATATAAAAAATACTAGAAAATTATTACTTTTAATTTTTAGTACAATTTTAATTTTTTTAATTATACTATTTATTTGTTTATTTATTTATTATACTATTTAATTATTGTTATATGCATATTAATTTCACTTTACATATATAATAGTAAAAATACACTAATAACTAATATAAGTAATTGAGTAAAATTATTATTATTATTATTATTATTATTATTATTATTATTATTTTAGGGAAATAATTAAATACAATAAATATTAGGAGACGGTGAGATAAGTGTTGAAGTACTCCATTTATAGATTTTTGAATATTAAAATTAGCTTTGTGTTTTCTGGCTTTACGCTGAAGACGATAATGTGCATATAAATTTGTCTCTCATGGAAGTACTAGACAGCGCTTTCATTTCAATAATGGAACACTACTCTTAATTTAATATATTGATTTCTTTAAGAATATAGTAGGTTTACCTAATTATTGGTTCCAATAATTGTTTTGCTTGTGTTTGGTATGTGCCCCCTTCTTCCCTTCTTTTTTATATTAATAAACTTTTTGGTGATTGCAAGCAAATGATTGGTTCTTGCTTTTGTAACTCTCCTTTTAAACATTGCTTTGAAAATGTGCATGATTGGTGGCAAGGCAAGGATAAGATAGAAATTGGAATGATAAGAAGAGTGACGCGTGTCTAGCGTGGCACTTTGATTGAGGATCTATACGTCTTAAAAGAAGGGATAAAGGTACAATGCAAAGAAGGGTAGGAAGTTGTGAAATAGGTTGGATCGAGTTAGATTTTATCATGTTTTAGTCTTATTTATTAAAAATATAGAAGTCTAAGTTGACATGTAGTCTGTCATAAGCTTATTTTTATGAGTCTGACATTTTTTAAATCTTGATTAGCCTGTTAGCCTACATAAAAGCATATTATTTTAGACATATGTAAATAAAAAATTTAAATAATGTTTAAATAGACTAACAAACTAAAAAATCAATGAGATTAAAAATTTGTTTGCATTGATTTATTTTAACTTACCAATTAACATAAGTTTTATGAGACTATTTGTTTAAGAGGACTTGTGAAAACAACTTATAATATTGTTTATAAAGTGTTTTCATCTTATTTAAGTTTTTCAAAATAACCAAGTTTTATTTATGTATTTTGATTCAAAGTATAAAACTTAATATAATGATAGTAAAAAAATTATTTATATTTAATTATATAGGCTGGCCTGTTAGTCCTAAAAGACTTTTTTTTCTGAAGTCTACCTTTTATAATTAAATAGACTTATAAAAAAGTACTTTTTTTTATAGTCTAAAGTCTACTTTTTATAACTAAATAGACTTATAAAAAAGTTTAAACCTAATCTGAGTCTATGTAGGTTAAGTCGAGCCTACGTAGGCTAGGTCCCTTATTTTCAGTCTAATGAATTTCCATCCCTACTAAGAACTTGCAAGTGGGTTTTCATGTGAATTGTTAGTTTATTCTTTGAAATTATAGCAGCCAAAAAGTTTATTCTTTGAAATTATAGCAGCCAAAAAGTTTATTCTATAACATTTCCAAGTTGTTTATGGAATTAAAAGTTATACACGACTCTAGAGAAGTGTTATGAATTTTGTCAACACCATCTCCTTGAGCAGCTTAACTCAAAAAGTTCTGAGTTCCAACACAATTTTAAGCACAATTTTGTTTGTGGCAAAGATACAAATCGATAAAGAAGAATACTCAAATTTTTTCAAAAATCATAAGCATCAAATTGTTTCATCTTTATAATAACCAAAACAATGAAGGTAGAATGCACAATATGGTTTTGCAACCAAGCAAAACCAAAAGCATAGATAAGAGTTACCAATACACATAATTTATTTAAGTAAATCCGGATGCATATATTTACATATTCATCTAACTGCGAAACTCTGATGTGATACTAAAATATAGAAATGAACTCATTTCTTATTGGTTGCAAAAGAATTGTAATTACAAAAAGTATATACATTTCAAAACCAGATTTTCGCCTCAATCACATCTCAGACAAAAGGTTGCTGATTTTCCGAAGCTCCTTTAGAGCTGTCATGGCAGTAACCTGCCCTTTTCCAACAAGAACATTCTTAGACAAATTATCGGACGTGGCTCCCTGGCCTCGATCTGGTTGGAAAACAGACTCAATCACCTGCACCACAAAAAACAATGTTAAGATAACAAGTTTGAAACTAGGGGAAAAGGAAAACAGTTTTGAGGTCTATAGGATTTGATTTGAAACCAAAGTCAAGTGAGAAAGAACATTACCTGAATATGGTCAAGCATAGACTGCCCAATATTTTTTAAAGTGCTCATCACATTTTGGTCAACGGAATCTCCTCTGCCACTAACAGAACTACAATGTCCATTAACAGCAGGTGAGGCTAGTGGTGGTGATGAATTACTTTGATCGCTATTACTGTTGGCAGACTTAGCCTCGGCAGCACCTCCTACTTTCTCAGAGATAACATCAACGGTATTCCGTCCAAAATTCCAAAACCACTGGAATTTATTCTGTTTTCTTTCTTTAGGGGCATTGGCTGAGCTTCCAGCATCGTCATTATCGCAACCCGATGTCTCAGGTAAGTTCTGAGGTGGATCAGAGGTTGGAGAGGGTGAATCACAAGGGATGGTATCTGAAGTTTCATTGCCTTGATGATTTCCTTGATTATCCTTATTGCATTCTGACGCTAGAGGCATTTTCTCAGGAGGATCAGAGATTGGAAGAGGTGAATCAATATGACAGGTGTCTGAAGTTTCATTACATTCGTCAAGGGATAAAAAAGATGCAGCACTATTTTTTTCTGAGGCGATTTCAGGATCATTGGCCTCATTAGGAGGACTGATGGAGTCGGAATATATAGACGAATCTTCATCGCGGCCAGAATTTCCGCTTGGACATTTATCATCAGATGAGTAGTTGTTGTCACTGTTACTGCCACTATCTTGTCGCTCTACTTCAACTGCTTCAGAAAGATTATCCTGTTCACTTATGATTTCATCATGATGCTGCTCATGTTCTGTGTTTTCCTCAGCGCCAAGTGCTTTGCGCAGATCTTCTAACAAACTGCGTCTAAACGATGGCTTAGATCCTCTTTGTCCGCTTAGAACCCTTGATGGAGGTGGGTCAGATTCTGTTCTTCTCAAACGTAATTTCATCTTTTCTGTCCATCCTTTCTTCCGAGTTGGAACCTGATTTTCTGCACCATCTTGTTTACGTTCTTCGGCCTTTTGGGCTTCGGCCTTTTGGGCGTTTCTCCACTTTTCTTCCCAGTAGCTATCGGGTATAAAATTCAGAGGAGTTTTCGGTGACACAGATTCAGATGGAAGGGTCACAGATCTTGTACATGTTGTTTTACTTTGGTAACGAGACCCCAAAAGCAAATGTGACGAGGACGAAATATCAATACTTAAAGCAAGATCCTGCAAGGATTTAGCCTTCTTTAGTATTTTCTCAATAGTGATGTTTTCGGGGAAGTTGAGTAGTCTCTGGAGACAGGTTGTAGGATTTTCAGTTGCAAGTAGAGAAGATCTTAAATAGAGTATCATTGCTACAGCAATAGATGAGATAAATGCTCCGCGGGGTGAATGTAAGATCCTGAAGCCATAATCTATGTTGTCATCCGCATTATTTTCCATTTTGCTATTATCTGATGCAAAGATCTCATCCCAAATGATAAGTAGTTTGTCAAGTGAAAACTCTCGTCCAAATAAAACCCGCAACCATCGGAGATAAAAGTACTGCGGTTCAACCCCAAGATCCAAAAGATGGTTATGAAGAGAAGAATCAGCAAGCGATAACAAATGATACAATGCCATAGAAGCTTCAATAACAGGAGGCAAGCCAGTATGGGAACTAGCTACAGGAGATGAAGCGAAGAAATCCGCCATTGCAACTGAACCATTGGCCCCTTTCATTAAAGCATCAAACATACAGTAAGCATCATGTTCCATGAATTTCTCAGATAATACAATGCCGAGTTCACCTTCAGCTCCATATGCATCACTTAGTAATACAATGGACCGTATCTCGGGTTCAAGTTCGTCAAGACTACTGGCTTTCATTGCATTTCCGTGGGATCCGATTTCATCCTCCATTGTGTCAGGGGATTTCCTAAAATCAAAGCTGTAATTAAGATCATTCTCTTGACATAAAAGAACATCAAATCGGTCTGTAAAGTGATCTTCATAAAGCTTCCGAACTTCTGAGAGACGCTCCAAATCAACTTGGAGAACATAAAGCAGAGGAGCCATTAATTCATGCATTCCTATAAATCAGTCAACGAAAGCAATCCATTAATATAATGTAAACAGTTTTCACACCATATACCTCAAAAGAAAAATTAGTTATAGTAGTTATCAGAAAGCAAGGAAGCCAAACAGATTGAAACTACATTTTACCATATAAAGGTTTCTTAACAATTTAATGACTCAATTTCTGGCAAAGTTGAAAGGAAAAATTATACCAAAAATAACAAAAGCTTTTTCCAACTAGGTGGGGTCAAGTTAAATAATCAAATAAAAAGTAAGTTAGCTATAGTTATGAAATTGGTGTTAGAAGGATAATAGGCACACCTGAAAATAAGAGCATAAACAAAATGGAGGTAAATTTTATTAAGATTGATGAATTGCTAGAAATTATTGCTAGGCTGAGAAATTTACCTTGTCTGTAACCACATTCAGGGTGCTTGAGACACCATAGCAATAAAATGCGTCTCAACATGCCTTGGCATCCTAGTGACTGGAAATAACTGTCATGTTCCGGGTACAAACGGGACAAATCTTGATCAACCAATCTTTCTAGCTCAGCGTTGCGGAAAAAGCGACTCCATGTACTATCTGCATATAAAGGTCATATTATATTATATTATATTATATTATATTCATCACAGATAAAATTAAAATTTTCATACCAGCACAATACAAAGAGGGCTAACTGTTTTATATCTACTGTTTTTGTTTTTATCGAAAGTGTGGGGGAAAGTAACTAAAATTTACCTGGATTTTGTGAAAGTGGATTGTCCATGACAAGATTCCGCGAGTTAGTTCCATTCTTCGGAGAAGGGGCTTCAGCCAGGAGGCGCCTTCTCAAACTTGCATACCTGACAAGACAAAGTTCAAGATTACTACACATATAAGCAAAAAAAAACAATTAGCTAGCAAAGTGTATTAGGTTTTAGTGCACAATCAATCGAAACAACTCTTCTTTACAATACCAAGTAAACACTGAATTCGTAAACTACACAAGCAGTCTTCAATTCCATATGAATAAAAAACTCGATCTTCCATTTTCACCCAATCTTTAGTCTCAAATTTTAAAAGGCAGATATCAACACAATAGAAAACAAGTAGTTCTTCCTTTAAATCAAATTAATACACCTAAAATACAAATTATCGTGAAAGAAAGTCCTGGAACTTCTAGTGTTTCTGCATGACTTTATCTCCATGTTGCACCATAAAAACAAACACAAAAAACAAAATTTCTGAAGAATTTTATTTACTGTTGAAAATCAAAACTAACTAAATCAAAACAAAATCAGCATAACCACCATCAATACACTTAAGGAAAAAAAACTTAAATACTATATCATCCATAAATATAAGCATTGAATTTTAAAGAATCCAATTTAAGAACACTTAGCTACTATTAAAACTTAATCAAAAATAAATAAATAAATAAATAAATAAAACACAAACACTGAAACAGTTGATTTCAAAGGGGATTTACCTCCTTCTACAATCAGCAGTAACTCGACGAAGATCATCAATGGAAGCAGCAGAAGAAGACGGCAAAACTCCAAGATTTATACGCCACTGCAACCCTCTAAGATCACTAAATCGCGGCTTCTCCGGCGCCGATCTCCGAGAACGAGGCGATAACAAAGGATCCACCACAGCTTGCTGCATGACCGTGAAAAATTGTCCGAAGATATATAAACCGCACAGAAAATGCCGAAAATTGAGTTGAAACCCTAACTAACTTTTTTTCTTCTGGAATTGAAACAAAAAGTTCAATAAATAGAAGTTGGAAGATGAACTAAAAGAGAAAGCAATAGTAATATTTTGCAGAGGAATCCAATGGTAAAATTTCTCTCTCTAGGCAAGAGAGAGAGAGAGATGGAGAAGGGGCATAGAAGAGAATAAAAAATTTGTTTTTGTGTAGAGAGAAAAAAGGAAAGAAGAAGATGATGTGAAAAAGGTGATTTGGTATGTGATTGTGCTTTGTGTGAGCTTACTTGACCTGTGGGAAGGTTTGTTGACTTGTCTTATTCTTCTAAAATTCCACATTATTTTGTTCCATTCTTCATTATTTTAATATTTCTACTATTTTCTTTCTTAACTACTTGTCTTTATAATTTTGTTTAGGTATACTTATGAAACTAACTTGTTGAATTCAAATATTTATAATGAACCTACAAAATGATTCTAGATTATTTTAAATTTATTGTTTTATAAATATTTAATTAAGCTCATTTGAGAGCTCTGGTATTGTGATTGGTTAATATTTGTATTTTGAAAAATATTTTCACTCATTTTCTGGTCAATAATGGCTGCTATATTTCTTTTATAGATTTTTTTTGTGTATAACACTGATAGTTGATTTGGCCACTTGTATTTTGTATTTTGTATTTTGTATTTTGCTTCTAGTTTTACAGCTGTTTTTAGAAGAAAAAATAGTTATATATTTTCTGTGATATATATATTTTTGGATAAAGAATATAAATATACTTGATTGTTTGGATAAAAAATGTATGATACAGATTTTTGTTTGGACACACTAGTATACAATTTTTTTTTATTGATTTATTTATTATAATTTCAGTTAGTTATGGTTCCACGTAATAACTTCAAGTTTCATAATAATTTATCTCCCTTTAAAAAGGCAATTTATAAATTTTTTACTCGAATTATTATTTTTTTATACAATTTTTTTTGTATATAGTAATTATAAGAATTATTGACGTTTTTGTTTGTATATTTTGTTAATAATACCCATTATAATATCGCTTAGAAATACTAATCAGTTACATGGTTTATTATACAATTTTTATTTAAACTATCGTAGTTTTTTTTTAGATAGTAAAGTATAAAAAGAAAAATTAACTCATAACAGTTAGTAACTTATAGCATGTTTAGATATACGGTGGGATCCTCAAAAGCACAGTGAAATTTTACGGCAACGCAGAAGCTAGGTTTTGTTGCTTTTTATTTTCACTGTGAGATGGTTTTGTAATGCACGTTTGATGTTTCCACTGCCAAACCAAACAGACTTTTAATATAGTTATTTTAATAAATCAAATATTTGAATTCTGGTAAGAAAGAAGTTTTCACTATAAACGAATTATTTTGATACTATTTAAATTTGATTTTTAATAGAAATAAAATTTGATAAGTGAACGTTTCTCTGAATAACAAAATCAGATTAATCAGTGTACTATGTAGATCGAAACTGATGATATATAGTTATCCTCATGGCGTTCGTCCTAGGGTTATCATGAGTGGTCCACGTACGAACAAGTGGAATGACCAAGTCATGTCCATTTTGTAAGCATGGCGGTCGTCACTCTTTGTAATGATCTAACGGTTGAAATGGGTTTTTCTTAGCCTCCAAGAGTCTCCAAACGACCCCTATATTTTCTCGACAATTTTGAAGCGGCTTTTGGCACTTTTTAGGGTTTTTAGAATCCTATAAATACCCTCCTAGTTCCACCATTTTGTTCATCCAAACTTATGCATACTTAAGCTATATACTTTCAATTTGTAAAGCAATAATCTCTTCACACCGGAGGATTATTGCACCTCTGATTGAGTCAGTATCAAGTTTGAAGCACTCCTATATTTCCAAACACTTTATTTCTGCCGTTTAAATTTCGTCAAGATTTACTTCAAGTTATTACAATTGTACTAGATTCAAGACTTCGTTTGGAGCATGTTTTTTAATTCATTCAACATTTACTTTATTTTCATTGTCTTTACTTTCCGGTCTTATTTACTTATTTTTATTCTTTTCATCTATTTACCTGTCATTATGTTACCTTTTCACTAAAAACCATTTATGTTTTATTTTCCATAAACATGTCCGGTTAATTTACTAAGTGTTAGGATGTGAGGATCGTCAATAGACGATGCTCTATATGTTGTCTCTTTAGGATCACCTTTGTGAGCTATTTTGATTTAAACGCGATTTTTCTGAATTTAGTTTGAATCTGCTTACACGAAAGTGAAGCAGTGAAAATATTGGGTAAAATCGAAAGTTGTCCAACACTAAAGACTAAAATTGATTTGTTTTTGGTTAACAAATACTGAAAAGCACTTTGTTAGTTAATTAGGAAGATTTGGTATTTATAGAAGGAGGTTTTAAAACTATTTGCGGAGGCGTTTATAGGTTTAGGATCCATTTACCTGGGAGGAAGCCAGGAACCCTTTTTAGTCAAACTTTCCAATCAAAATTATTTTTCAACTTAGTTAAGAGTTTAATTTCTTAAAAATAGGTTTACTACTTTAACGCGTTAAGCACCTTCCATAAGTGACAATGGCGGGCATAAATTAGAGAGTAAACTCGGTTATGAATACGTGAAAGCGACAATTCCCGTTAAATCAATTATTTTCAAAGTAGGAAATATTGCTCCGTAAGTAATCTTAGTATAAACAATCAGAGTATTGTTGATATATGTGAATTACATTTCAGCATTGTTATTCATCTGTTTTTATCAAAAGATTATTTATTTAGTCCCTTTCTCACTACTATTTTATCGCCTTGGATAAACACCGTAACAACTAGAAACAATAGATTTGACTATTGGTCTCTATGGATCGATATCTTTTTAAAACTACATGATATGTTGTGAACTTGCATTATATTTTACACTCACTAAATAGCCGATCAAGTTTTTGGAGCCGTTGTCGGGGACCAATTACGTCAAATATTGTAACTTCGTTGTTACATCATCTAGACTAAGGCACTCTTTTCGACAGATGCGAAGAACTCGCAGTACCAGAACCTTGGTAGAGCCAATAGCTGAACCTGATAGATACGCGAGAGAAAGACTTAGACATTTGCTCCAACGAATTCGTAGAGAGATGGTTGAAGAACAAGATCTTAAGCCTCTTAAGGATTTCACTTTACCCTTTAACGAATTCGAGTATTCTCAATCCTAAAATAGCGGCTCACAATTTTGAATTGAAACCCGCTTTGTTTCAAATTGTGCGCAAAACCAATTTTCCAGTCTCCCAACAGAGAACCCTAACCACCACTTGAAAATGTTTATCCAACTAGCCGATACATTTAAAACCAATGGTGCTACTTCTGAGACTATATGTTTATATTTATTCCATTTCTCCCTCAGAGATAGAGCAAGATCATGGCTAGATTCTCTTCCATCAAATTCTATCACCACTTGAAATGACCTTAAGAAAGTTTTCCTTGCTATATACTTTCCATCAAGTAAAATTGTTGTCTTAAGAAACCAAATAACTATATTTAATCAATAAGATGGTGAGTCTCTTTTTGACGCTTGGGAAAGATACAAAGACCTATTAAGAGCTTGTCCTTGCCATGGATTAGAACCATGGTTGATCATTCATACTTTCTATAATGGTCTTCTCTATAACACAAGAATGACCATCAATGCTGTCGTCGGTGGTGCCTTGATGAACAAACCATACTCCGAAGCTTGTGCTCTCATAGAAGACATGGCCTAAAACCATTATCAATGGAGAACTGAACGAGTACATATAGAGAAGAAAGAAACAAAAGGAGGTATATATGAAGTTGACAACCTAGACCATATGAATGCCAAAATGGATGCTTTACCATACAAGGTCGAAAACCTAGTTGTCAACCCTGCAACTACCGTAGCTGAAATCCGTCCCGGATGTGAAATATGTGGAACCCAAGGGCATATAACTGCTGAATGCAACCTTATAGATGAATCTGACCTGGACTAGGTAAATTATGCCCAAGGAAATCCTTATTCAAACACTTATAATCCTGGATGGAGGAATCACCCAAATTTCTCTTACAAAAACAATAACACCATCCAGAGCCCCTTACCTCAGAGATCTCAAGGTTTCCAAACACAAAAACCTTCACAGCATATGCAAATGCTACCTCAAAAATTGAACCTAGAGAAAATGATGGAAAGTTTCATCTCAACTCAAACTCAGTAGAACAAATAATTCATGAATCAAAACATTCATATAAATGAGTTGATTGGGCAATTAGGTAACAAAGTCGATTTTATGGTCACGCACAACAAGATGCTGGAAACCCAAATCTCTCAAGTATCACAATAACAAGCTGCCCGGGCTACGCCAGGAGGATCATTCCATGGACAACCCCAACCTAACCCAAAGACGATGTTAATGATATTTCACTGTGAAGCAGAACTGCATATGATGGACCCGTAAACCCTAGGTTAAATGACAAACTAACAAAGGAGCCTGAACCACCCAAATAAAACATTGTGACTACACCAGAAAAACCATCAGTAGAAGAATCGGTTGAGCCTGAAAAGCAAGGAGAATGAGAGGTTAAGGAGAAAGAAACTGAGAAAGATAACCAACCTTACATACCACCCATCCTTATAAACCATTGATTCCATGCCCATAAAGACTTAAATAAACCAATCTGGACAACCAATACAAGAAGTTTATAAAACTTATTGAAAAACTTCACGTTGAAATACCTTTCACCAAAGCTATCACCCAGATACCATCATATGCCAAATTCTTAAAAGACATCTTGACAAACAAGCGTAAGCTTGATGACCCTAAACCTATGGAATGCAATTCTATTTCTATTACTAAGAATAAAATAGCCAAGAAGTAGAATGACCCCGAAATTTTTTTTATACCATGTGTCTTAGGAACACATGTTATTGATAGAGCACTACTAGATCTTGGCG